GGAGAAGAAGAAGAAGAAGAAGAAGAAGAAGAAGAAGAAGAAGAAGAAGAAGAAGAAGAAGAAGAAGAAGAAGAAGAAAGAAGAAGAAGAAAATGGGAGAAAACAGAAAACACATTCAGCTGGGTGTGTGGTACATGCCTATAATACCAGCACAGGAGGCTGAGGCAGGAGCATCCCTGTAAATTGAGACCCTATATCAAAAAAAAAAAAAGGAAAAGAAAAGGAAAAAAAGGCAAAATTAAAGACTCAAATGCAACAATACAAATAATTAAACATAAATGGGTAAAACACCTTAAAGGGAGAAATGGAAGTAAAAATAATGAAGATGTGTTCTGTCTATTCACTGGCTCGCTATGTACTGCAAACACAGACTAATAAATAAAAATTTAAAAAATACACTCTAAAGAAATGGGCAGAACAAAAGGCAAAGGTCACAGCAGGGACAGTGGGTGCACCTGCAGTCCCAGGTCCACGCGAGGCTGAGGCAGGAAGATGGCTACAGCCCATGTGTCAGGGACAGCCCAAGTCACACGGTGAGATCCCAGCTCAAAATAAAAGTCAACTTCAGAGCAAAGTATGGAGTGACCCCACGTGGACGTCATACAACACAGTGACCCACAGATTAATTCAGCTCTCTAAGTTAGAACAGCGACAGAAGGTAGCTCACCTGGCAGAGGTGTGGGGCAGGAGGAAATGAGCAGAGACGTCGGGAACCCTGGGCCACCAGCGAGTATGGTGGTGGAGATGCGGCAGACGCGGCTCCAAGCTCCCGGTGAGCACGCACCCTGCAAGCGTTCTGTTCGGTGTAAACTTTGCCAGAATCGAGTTGTGTCTTTAGAAATCTGAGCTGCACACAGCACAAGAGGACTTCATTTTGCCTAAGCTGGATAACCAGTCAAGCCTAGCGTCACAGCCAGGCGTGGTGGCACGAGGGAAGCTGAGGCAGGAAGATCGTTGCAAATTCAAGACCAGCCTGGGCTACAGAGAGCTCAAGGCCAGCCTGAGCTGCATAGTGAGACCCTGTTTCAAAAAGGACCCCCCAAATGTCAGGAAATAAGCTCCTTCCCCTCTCCAAAATGAAATATCACTTTTTCTATATGCTTACTTGAAGCACAGTATTTCGGGGTCCTCTTGCTGATTCGCACAGTGGTCTTCCTTTGGCTGCGCTGCACCTGAATCCTTTGCCTGTTATTTGCAGAAATTATGTTAGGATTCTGAGCCACCTCTCTGGAGAGACGCAGAAAAGCCCACAGTGAGCTTTTCCTAGTTTCCCTCGCAACCAGAGTGTGCCACCTGGTGTGGTTCTCAGGCTGCAGAGAGACACTGTGTGGTGCCCAGGTGGCTGTGAATCCTGCCTGGCTCGCCACCTCCCACCGCTCGGTCTTCGGGGAGCCGGCAGCCCTGTGGAGAGGCCCACATGCCATGTGAAGCACTGGAGTCGCAGGCCAAGCTGGCCGGTGACCTTGCCACCTCCTATGGCCCCTCCAGGTGACCTCAGCCTCAGCCAATACCTGGGCAGCAAGCTGGTGAGCAACTCTGAGCCAGCTACCTGGCAGAGGGCTCCCAGGGCCTGATCTTAGGCAGGGTGAGGCAAGAGAGTCCTACGCTGCTCAGTTTTGGGGTGACTTGTTACCCTGCAATGGGAGCACAGGGCATGTCTGCGACTGGGGCTCACTGTTCTGGGCACTGTCCCTCAATGCCTGTGACTTCCCTTATGTTGGCACGATGTGTTTTGTAAGTTTACTCCTAAGTATCTCACAAGGTTTGCCTCCAATCGGAACGCAAGTTTGAACAACTTACATCACTGTATGTCATTCTGCAAGCTGAGAGCAGCGCCACTGATTTTTACAGCTAAGGATTTTCTTCCTTCGGCGGTTCTGGGGATTGAACCCAGGGAACACTGTTGATTTATTGCTTTATTGTGAGACGAGTCTGGCTAGGCTGGCCTCCAGCTCTATGGTCCCCAGGAGCTGGGGTCACAGGCACGTGCTACCATGCCCAGATTTATAGACGTATCTTAAATGCAACACGTGCCAGATTCTCCTATTCATTCTGCATACTTGGGGTTGAGTCACTTGGATTTTGGGGCTATGAAATCATGTCACCAACAAGACATTTTTTAAATTGATTTTATTGAGAAAGAAATAGCAATGAGACAGTTTCAAAACAGGTTAGTAGGATAGTTACAATAATTAATACATTACATATTGTCTTCATAGTAGTTATTCATAGTAGAAGACGCAGACATGATATCTTGTCTAAACAAGACAACATTTCAAAACGAAGGATTTTGGCTTTTCTAAAATGCAAACTGGGCCAGGGAGATAGCTCAGTGGCATAAGTGCCTGCCTGGCAAGCGCAAGGTCCTGAGTTGGATGCTCAGTATCAAAACTTTTTTAAAAAAGCATACCAATTGATTTTCCTGCTGCCAGACCCTCCCAAGGGTGCAAGATGAGACTATGAATTTATCACTCCCCTGACTCTTACTGTCCTGTATGACAGGACAGTTGCGGTTATTTCTCCTTAACTTAGGTGTCATTTATATAATAAAAATTCACCCTTTTAAGTGTACAGTTTGATGATTTGTCACCACAATCAATATCAAGACCAAGAGCATTTCCAACAGCTCCAAAGCTCTCCCTGAGGGCAAGGGATACAGCTCAACATCAAGGCACCCACCTGGCAAGTGCAGCCTCATGAGTTCGAGCCCTGGTACCAAACAAGCTCCCCTGGTGCACTCTCTTCCCAGTATTCACTTACATCTTTAGTTTAAATAAAACATTCATGCTTATAGTACAACTCTACTGTCAATATTGGCCCAACTTCTGTAAGAGCAGGGACCATATCTACTGTGGACCGAGGTCCTCCACGTTTGCTGAACGAGTGAAGAAACCACTCCGCCAACCAGAGCTTCTCCAAGGTCATCCTCAACATTCCCTGAGCCAACAGTTTTCCTGCCCTGTTCCCCAGATGTTTCCTCCCAGACATCCCACTACACCTCCCGATGATTCCGCCCCTAACTGCAGCTGCTTATCTGATTTTTCCTTGCGCTGTCTGGTTGCATTAGACATGCACAAGCAGCAGCATAACACACGGTGGCCCACTCCTCCACTCCTGTACCTCAGTACCCAGGAGGCTGAGGCAGGAGGTTCACTTCAATTTTAAGGCCAGCCCGAACTTGTCTCAAAAAAAAAAAAAAAAAAAAAAAAAAAAAAATCAAAAAACAAAAAACCAGCATAACAACAAGGTAGCATGGGCCCTGGGAATAGGGCAAAAATTAGTAAACAAGGGGCCGGGGAGATGGCTCAGTACTATAAGCGCTTCCCTGGCAAGCGCAAGGGCCAGAGTTCAATCCCTGGCTGGGTGGGTGGTGGGGAGACAAGTGAATCAGCTTACTAACGACCTGGACTGTCCGTTTCTGGGAAAAACTGACAGATCAAAGGTCAGAAGAGGTGAAGCGAACACAGAGAAGGAAGGGTAAGACCAGGAGCCTAACAACCGCCCACTGTTAAGAGGCCGCTGGGCCGGCTCTTGGCCCACTCAAGGGGCAGAGCTGAGAGGGCGGCCAGCCATCCTCCCGGCCGCAGTTCTGGGCCCGCCGCACTCCCGAGTCCCTCTCCTCCGCCGAGACCGCTCCCACCCCACGGCGGCAGGTCTATTTTGGATCCAAGGCTCTCGGTTCCCTCCAGGTGCAGCCCCACCCACCCCTGGCCTGTGAAGAAGTTTGGGGAAGGGCACTCGCGCTTTCAGAACTGCTTGTTTATCTGTTTGTAACTAGAGAAACGTTGGGGAAGTCAAATGTAGAAAAGTGAAGGACCTCATCTTTCTCCAAAAACAAAAAAATTAACTAGCTAAAACAAAGATGCACTTGAGGTTTGTGAATGTAGTTAGCGCCCTAACATACTCTTTTTTAAATGCAAGCACAGAAGCATAAAACCTGCTGTGTAAGCGTGCTTACTAATAACAAACGCAGGTAAATGAGGCAGATCTAAATTAGGCACAGCCACAATATGTAAACACAACCACAGAGCCCAGATCAGGCAAACCTAAATAGGGGAAGTTGTAAAAGACAAGCTGTCACTGAAAAGCTTATCTTCAGGAATACCGATGATATCGGAAAGCAAACGCGGAGCTCCACTCTGCTGGCAGCAGCAGTGACAACGGTGTGTAACTCAGAGACCTGCGCGGGTGGGCGTTCCGGAAAACTAAATCGAGGCAAGAAGCTACCTGAAGGGCACAAGCTTCGAGGGAAGGGCTCCTCCCCCACAGGAAAGGCACCTGGTGTGCTCAGCGCCCGGCCGCAGGCGGGCAGCGGGTTTCTAACCAGCGAGGGCTGCGGTGAATCTCGGTCGCAGCACGCAGGGTTCGCTTCGCGTCTTCCCGTTTCCGCGCTAGACCGCACCGGCCCCCAGTTCTCCGCCTGATTCACAGCAGCGACTCCGGGGTCGCCGGCGCCCCCCACGGTGCTTTATGGGACTCAAAGGCACCAAAGTTGCTTGCGATCTCCCACCGCATCAGTGGGGTCTGGACATTCCGGCCGGGGGACACGGAGAGGCGATGGGTCCGGCGCCCTAAGCGACGCACGAGAAGCCAGATTCGGAAATGCGCGTCGCGAGCCAGCGGCCCAGACCCCAACGGCCGGCGTGCAGCACGCGGTGGTCCTGCCCGCGCGGGCGCGGAGGCCTGCCTAGCCCCGCTTCTCAGAGCTGTGCAAACTGGAGATAAGCACAGCTGTGTACTGCAGTCAGAACAAAGCGTAAACCTTAAAACACATTGGAGAACAGGTGAGGTCCTAACCGGTCGGCAAGCGCTAGACCAGAAACTCCCAGCATTCAATACGGCGCGCACCCTTGCGTTGCATGCCGGGAACTGTAGTTTCTACCCCTCCTTCCAAAAGAGCGGTGCGGGGCGTCTCAAACCGTCAAGTCTTTGTTCCGAGGTGCACCACCAAACAGAAAGCCGACTGCAAATTTCGCTCTGGGATAGCTCTCAGCATGATCCCAAGCATAAACGGGGAGAGAGGGGATAGAAACTGCGTTGCCTCGGCTTCTGTTTCCCCTGGTCACAGAATAACGCTCTCTAGGATCCGGAAGTGGTTCCACAGAGCCCTCTGTCAAAGGATGGACGCGTTGCGCGTTTACGTTCATTGGACGGCTTCCCTTAGGGGACAAGACTTCAGAGGCAAAGGGGCGGTCTCCCGTGTGAGGGGCCCGCGGTGCCCTGTGATTGGACAAAAGCTAGTACAAGAGACCAATTGGAAGGAGCCACGCTTCGGGCATAGGCTACCGCACCTGGAGAGCTCCGATTGGTAGACTGCGTTCCCCCCCTCGCATTCTCATTGGGTACAGAGGGTGCGTGGTGCGGCGCGATTGGTGGATTTGTGTTTCCCGTCCCCCGCCCGCGACAAGTGGGGGTGAAAAGCAGCACGACCTGCTTGGGGTGTAGGGGGCGGATCGTGCGGCTAGAGGTGTGAGGATCAGAGCCCGGGGTGGGGGGGCGGAGGCGGCTCCTGCGATCACAAGGGACGTGAGACTCACCCGGCCGTGCGCCATGAGGGCCCTGTGGGTTCTGGGTCTGTGCTGCGTCCTGCTGACCTTCGGTGAGTGATTCTCGGGGAGCGGCCGCCCCCCTCCTCCGGCATGACGGCTTCTCGAAGGTTCTGGGGGCGTCGATCCTGGGAGGGGGTCACCAGAGTCCGCGGGGGGGGGAGCAGAGGACATCACCTTTCCTCAAGAGAGGCTCGGGTTTGTCTTACTGTCCCCGGGTCCGCAAGGCAGCGAAACGCTGCGGTCATTTAAACTCCCGGGTCGCGGCCGCGGGTGGGGCCTCGCGCAGGACCGGCATCGGCCGCCGCGACCTTTGACCCTGCGAGCTGAGGACCCCGGGTCCCCCGGACGCGCGCGTGTGGGTCTCGGAGGCGCGTCCCGGGGACACCCGAGCGGCGCTTGGAAGTCAGCTGGCCCCAGCTGAGCCTAAACGTTTCTCTCCTTCTCTGACCCCCGGGCCGGATTTCAGTTCCCGTAGGCAGAAGCTGCACCGACGCGGCCTGCGTCCTGAGCCCTCAGCCGAGGCGCAGGTCCGGCCGGTCAGCTCGGGGCCCGGGCTGTGAGCTACACGTGTGGGTGTAGCCGAGCCCAAGCCGCGGAGCACGCGGACACGGGGCCGGATGGGCTTCCGCGGGCCGCCCCTGCACCGCGCGCTCGTATTTACCCACCGAATTTTGCAACCCGTGCCCTTGCCCTGTTTGATCAGAGTCGCTCTGCGAAGCACAGGGCACAGTATTCAAGTTTACTGATGTTAAATCCCCAGGGTCGGTCAGAGCTGATGATGAAGTCGATGTGGATGGGACAGTAGAAGAGGACCTGGGGAAGAGCAGAGAAGGCTCGAGGACCGATGATGAAGTAGTGCAGAGGTCTGTGCCCGACTGAAACTGTATTGACAGGGTTGCCGATGGCGCAACTTCTTTGTTTCTCTCAGAGGGTCTGGGTCTGGGTCTGGGTCCGGGTCCGGGTCCGAGTCCGGGTCGGGGTTGGGGTTGGGGTTGGGGTGGGACGTCCCCATTTAAATGAGCGGAAACCTTACTACTGGTGTGGAGTTAGGTGCAAGCTTGACTCTTAAAATGACCTATCACAAAAAGCAATGGGGTTGGGCTAGGTGAAGTCCAAGGGTAGATGTTTGCTTAGCGTGCCCAGGACCCTGGGTTCAACCCCCAACAACCACTCAGTGTGCAAATGGGTATTTTAAAAACTATTTTGGTAGCTATCATGCAGAATACTAGTGCTGTAAACTTCTCAGAACTTTATTAAAGACTTTTAGTTAGTTGCCTTTGTGTTTGTTGTGAATGCTTAATTGAGTTTTAAAACTTGGCTTCTTGGATCTTAGTGAGTTTTAAGTCCTTGCTTGGCCATCAGTGATTTCTGACTTTGCTTTTTAATAAAGGCAAATTGGTTTTATTTTTCTGGCAATTTTAAGAACTCAGTTCCAGTATTACAGTACTACTATAATTGTAAGCTGGCCTATCAGTGAATTTTATTCAAATTTCCGTTTCACCCTCCTCACAGAGACTGTGTTTTTGAAGAGAACTGAGTATTTATTTGTTAAATTGATTTCCCTAGAGAGGAAGAAGCCATACAATTGGATGGATTAAATGCATCACAAATACGAGAACTTAGAGAGAAATCTGAAAAGTTTGCCTTCCAAGCTGAAGTTAACAGGATGATGAAACTTATCATCAATTCACTGTATAAAAATAAAGAGGTAAGCAGTCCTATGATTTGGGTAATATTTAAGTAACTAGTTAGCAAAGTTTAAGTCCCCAGTATTACAACAGTTATTACTGATACATACTGGGGGAAAGAATGAAAGACAGGCCAGGCATGGTGGCACACAGGAGGATGGATGCAAGTTTGAGGCCAGGGTTGGCTACGCTGTGAGTTGTAGGTCAGCCTGAACTGGATAGTGAAACCCTGTGTCAAAAAACAGAAAGAAAAAAAAGCAAAGGCGTTTCTTTCCTTTGCCCTCCAAATGTGTTCATGGCCTGCTAATACTGTAGTTGTGTCTTAAACATAGTCGCACACATTTAAGTTTTCAAGTGCTGCCTACCCAGAGATGCCTGGTAGGAGGCTGCTGTAAACCCATTCAGATGTCTTCATTGGCTGCAGCGTTTTATGTAGGGGTTGTACATCCTTTCATTGAGAGTAAAGCCATCCCTTTGCCACAAGACATTTTATTCAAGCCTGGACCTGACACTGTCTCTTGAGGCTAATCTGAGGGTCCTAAATCTGGCTTCCATTTAGATCTTCCTGAGAGAGCTGATTTCAAACGCTTCTGATGCCTTAGATAAGATAAGGCTGATATCACTCACTGATGAAAGTGCGCTTTCTGGAAACGAGGAGTTAACGGTCAAAATCAAGGTAAGTCAGCAGATTTTCTTGTAATAAGAATCCTTCCTTAGAGATCAGGAATTCATGTAGGCAGGGACAAGCAACCCTGGTGTCTCCCTGGTTACCATAGGAGTCAGCAGACTGAGTTGTGGGCCAATGCCG